GGTGAGGTGGCCCACGCTGCTCCGCGCTCCCGGGGTGGGCCGGCGGGAGGCCGCGCGGGGCGGGCGCCCGGTGCCGCCGGCAGCCGCACCCGGGAGGACGGGCACCCGCGGGACCTTCGCTGCCGCTCGGGCGACCGTCTCCGCGGACGGGCCGCCGGCCGCTTTTCCGGGGACCCGGCCGGGGCCGCCGGGCAGGGTGGTCGGCCGCCCGCGCAGCGCTTGCCCGGCCTTGGGATCCCCGGATTCGGCTCCCGGGACAGCCGTTTCCCTCCCTCTCAGTGGGGACACGCTTCCTGGCTGGCCGGGGGATGCTGGAAGTTGTAGTGCAACCGAGCTGCAGGCTCCCAGGCAGGGGCAGGCTGCTGCAGGGGCTGGCCGGGCACTGTCTGCCGCGCATCCCTCCCCTCCCCTCCCCTCCCCTCCCCGCATTGCCCCAAAGCCAGCGCGCTCCGGGCGGTCGAGGGAAGAGGGCGAGGTTGGCGCCAGGTGGGCTTCACCGGGGGAGCCCCTGCCTGCCTGGCTGCCCCCCCCCCCGCCTCCCTCGGAAGACCTTGGAGGCCGGTCGCGGCGCGTGGAGGCCTCGCCGGGTCTCGTGCCCCTTCCCGGGACGGGGCATCCTCCGTGGAAGGGAAGGGGGCAGGCCGGGAGCCCCTTGCTGGCTTGCCCGCCCGGAGGACCACAGGGCAGGGGCCGCTTCGGGCGCCGTCCAGTCCAGCCCGGCGCGATGCAGCAAGTCCGGAGCAAGAACCCCCCCAGCTGGTCACCGTCCCCTGACGGCCCCCAGCTGCAGGGGGACCCCCACCCGGGCCAGTGCTTCCTCAGCCAAAGCACTCCTACTGGGGGAGGCGTTGGTCTGCCCCCCTGCAACCTGGACTAGGGCTTCCCCCCCTTCCATGTGGCAGCCCCAGGGGGCTGGCCAGCAAGAGGGGCTCCATGTGCCAGAACCAGAGGGAGAGCTGCAGTGCAGCATGGGAAAAGAGTGCGACCCAGTCATGCAGGACGGCAGTGGGGCTGCCCCATGGAGCAGGCCGGAGGGACAGTCGAGGCGGTCGAGGGAGACGCGTTTTCATTCTGCGCACGCTTAGATCACGGAATTCGCAACTTGCCGTGTTGGCCTCTGCTGCTGGGGGGCTTTGCAAGGAGGCTGGGGGCTTTGCGTGGCTACTAGCCTTTCTCCGGCATGGGAGGCAGTCCACCTCTGTGCCCGGTGGCTGAGGAGCATGGGTGAGGGGGCTGCTGAGCCCCCGTCCTGCGTGGGGGTTTCTCGGGCGCCTGTTGGTGTTTGCTGGAGAGGAATGCCGGGCTCGAGTGGCCCATGGTCCTTGGAGTGTTCTGGGCTACTGTTCCCGCAGCCCCTGGGGCTCATGGGTGGGGCGGCCCAGATACCCATTGCCCACCAAGGGGGCTGTCCGGCTGCGTCCGGAATGGGGCCGTTGAGCTGCTTGCCCCTGCTCTCCGTGAGCCTGGCGGCCGTCTGTCTCCTGAGGCGTCTCCCAGGGGCCGCCGCGGAGGGCCTCGTCGCAACACAGAGGTCCGGAAACTTGTGCTCAGGTGTGAGCAGAAGCTGCTCTTGTCTGGTTGTCAAAGGCTTCTGCGTTCGTGCAGCGCAGGGCTGGAAACGGGGAAGTTCCGAGCGCAGGAGCATCCGGATGCCAGAATGCAGGAGTGCATCTCTGAGGGAAGTGGAGGTGGGGGAAACGGGGGCAGCCCGGGAAAAGAAGATGTGGGCGGGAGCCATTGGGGGAGCTCTCTGGGAGAGACCAGGCGGCTGGTGGAGAGGTCCCCGACCCTCGTGCGCCCGTGCCTTCCCGTGCGGCCCCACCGCTTCCAGCCCGGCCCTCTTCTCTTTGCCGTGCAAGGACTGAAATGCACATAGGGAATCCAGCCTGCTTGGGGCGGGGGTCACACTCCCCTGGAGGAAGCGGAGTGGTGGCTTCGGGTGCCCCCCGAGCCTTCCTTGCTTGCCCCTTGAGGCCCCGGTGGCTCGAGTGGCCCAAGCGCCTTCCAGCGGCCTTGGCGGGTGGTTCTGCTGCACCCAGGTCCCACATCCTCCCGCCCATCTGGGTCCCGCGTGCGCCTGGCCGCGTCATGTGCTCGCCCACTCGCCAGTTCTGGCACTCCCCACATGGCCATGCGCCGAACCGTGAGGGAAAGGGCGGTTTGCAGCCTGGGCCGGCCGGCTGGCCCTCCCTCCCTCCCTCGGCCTGCTGCAGGCCCTCAAGCCCAAGCCGTCCCACTGATGTCCTCCGTGATAAGCCCGATGGCCTTGGCAGTCGCCTCCAGGCTGAGAACAGGAGAGCAAGGCCTCCGGAGCCCCCCCCGGCCCCCCGCCCACTGTGCCCGGGAGGTCTGGGCCGGCCGGAGAATCCCTGTGTGCCAAGGCTGCGGCGGCACATGGCTGGCAGCGGGGCGAGCCTGGAGCCAGATGCGGGCCGGACGGGCCGCCTCGCTGGGCCGTGGGAGGGCCCCCCGCACACGTGCACTCGGAGCCCCGCAGGGTCCGGCTGGGGCACGGCGTGGGCGGCCACGCTGTCTCGCCCCCGGCACATCCCCTGAAGCTGCTGCCTGGTGGCCCGGGGCCTGGCGTCCGCATGAGAGCCAGAGCGGGGCGACTGAGGGGGTGCCGGGGGGGCTCCTCCGCGCTCCTCGCTCAGCGGCACCTGCCTCTCCAGCTCAAGGTGTTTCCAGGCCGCTCGCTCCCCAGGGGCGCGGCCCACGCCGGGCTGGGGAATGGGCGGCTGGGCCCGGGCCCCACACACGCGTCCTTGGCGTCTCTGGAGGGGCAGCCCCCACGCCCCGGGGCCTCACCGCGCATCGTCCTGCCTCCCGCCCAGGTCTGCCGCTTCCACTGGCTCCTGCTGCAGCGCCGGAAGCCGCCCTGGCCCCCCCTGGCCCCGCTCTGCAGGCCGCACTCCGCCGCACCGGCCCCCAGGTAGGCGGCAGACGGGGGGCGCCCACCGAGCCCCCTGCGAGTGGCAGCGCCGGTGCCTCTGGCGGCGGGTGCTCAGACTCACGGGGCTGGGGGGGGGGGCTCTTCCCTGATGCTGGGGGTGGCTTCCACACCCCCTTTCTGAAGCTGGCGGGGGATGATGGGAGATGGTAGTCCAGCTCTTGCAGAGGATATCGAGCTGTGGAGCAGCTTCAGGAAAAACGGCCTTGGAGGCTTTTTGTGGGCCTCTCCTTTCCTGTGGATGCATCTAAGAAATCCGGGCAGTTTCATGTCCGGGGGCCACAAAGGACGCGCTTGGTCTTCGGCGAGGCCCCCTCCGTGCTGCCTCCCTTTCCTCGGCTCTGGGCCAGCTGCAGGCACTTGGGTCTGTGAGCTGCCTGAACGCCTGTGCCCGCCTTCCTCTCTGCCTCGCAACAGCCCTGTGCGGTAGCTCAGGCGCAGAGTTGGCTCGCCCAGGGAGTGGGGTCCTGGCCCCAGCCTGAGTCCAGCCCCTGCTGGCCCTCGCCCGTCGCCCTCCGGGGCAGGTGGCCGGGCCCTGCTGCCCCAAGGGGTGGCGCTCTCCCATCAGGCAGCCGTGGGGCTGTCCCAGCTCAGGTCGTGTCCCGGCCTTCCTCCCCGACCTCCTCCTCCTCCTCTCCCGCAGTGTGCGAGGACGGCGGGGGCTGCTGCAGAAGGTGCTCCTGGGCACGGCACTGGGGCTCCCGCTGGCCGCCGGCGCCTGCTATGGCCTGGCCGGGAAGCAGGAGCGGCGCAGGATGAAGCTGATGGCCGCCGGCACCCAGCGCTTCCTCAGGTAGCGGCACCTGCGCCCGTCCCCAGGGCAGGCCCTGCCGCACACCCCCGGAATGCCCCACAGCTGCTCGCCGCCCCTCTGTGCGGCATGCCCCCGGGGCCGGTGGGGGTGGCTGAGCAGCCCCTTCCCTGCGCTGTGCCGTTCGGGGTTCGGCTGTGAGCAGCCCCCCGGCTGCCGCTGGTGGGAATGGTCTTCCAAGGGCCGTTGGGAGGGCTGCCGGCCTGGGGCAGGGAGGAAGCCCCTGCCCACCCTCCGTCGCTGGATGTGGGGGCCCGCCGGGGCCACACCTGGGATAGGCTGCTGCCGGCATGTGTCCTGCTTGGGGACGGCTGTGCCCGGTCCCAGATACGGGGACATGCAGTCTGCTTGCGTGCAGAGGTCCTCTTGCTCAGGGAGCCGGGGCCGAGCTCTGGCACCTGGAAGTCAGCGGTACAGGGGGAGCTGCCCTCCAGAGGCTCCCGGAGTCCCGCTGGAAGGAGCCAGCCTCATCCAAGAGGGAGGGAGGGAGGGAGCGGCAGGCGCCAAAGTTCTCAGCCCTCCTGCCTTCCCCGCTCTCTCAAAGGTCGCTGCAGCTGGGCTGCCGGATCTCCGCGGATTACTGGTGGACGTACCATGTCACGCTGCGGGGCCTGGATGAGGTACGGCACCCGCAGCGTTGGCCGAGGCGCTGGGCCCCGCAGCCGGCCGAGAGCCGCACAGGGGTTTCCCGGCCGCTGGAGGCCCGGCGAGGGTCCTTTGGGCCCTCGCTCGCCCGCCCGATGCAGGGAAGAGGCGCAGGGAGGGGAGGGCCGGGCCGGGACCGCAGGGGTAGTCGAGGCAGGGCGACACAGCGCTGCCGCTCCCTGGCGGTTCAGCCCCCGAGGCGTGAGGGCATTGCTGCCCGGAGCGGCATCCTGGAGAGCCCAGGCCAGGCCAGGCGGCTTCCCCGAGGGGCTGGGGGCTTGCCGGGGCGCCTCTGTCGGGGGCAGCTGTGCCGACTGGAGCGGGAGGGGAGCCCGATTGGGCCCGTATCTGTGCCGGGGGGCTTCCCCAGTCGGAGCGGCCTCCCCCCCCTTGGGGCGCGAGGAGCCTTCAGAGCCCCAGGGGGCCGAGCTCTGCCCCCCCGGCTCTGACAACCCGTTCCGCGCGCCCCCTTCCCTGTCGTCAGAGCAGCCCGGAGTACCTGGCGGTCGTGTCCAGCTGTCACCAGCGGGCGGCAGACCGCATCGTCTTGGGGGCCATCGAGAACGGGGGCCTCTACGTCAAGCTGGGCCAGGGGCTCTGCGCCCTCAACCACCTCCTGCCCCCCGAGTACGTCAGCACCCTGCGCGTGCTGGAGGACAAGGCCCTGAAGCGCGGCTACGCGGAGGTGAGAGCGGGGCGGTGGGGGGCCGTCCGGCCACTCCGCTGGCGAGAATGCGGTTGCTGCCAGACGTGGCGGGTGGCCCTCGCGGCTTGCCCAGGCCCCGGGGTCCCTGGAGCAGAGCAGGCCTTCAGCAGGCCCCAGCCCGCCTCCAGCTTGCTCACAGCCTGGGTCCCTCCCCTACCCACTCCCTGTCCTCCTTTCCCCTTGCTGGGTGTTCTTTCCGCTCCGCCGATGACGCTTGGCTGGGAAGGGGTCCCCAGCCCCTCCCGGCAACCGGCTGCCCCCGAACCGCCCTGTGCTGGCAGCTTACGGCTCCCGCCGGACCTCCCGGGGCTCTTTCCGCTGCAGGTGGACGACCTCTTCCTGGAAGACTTCAATGCCCGGGCGGACCAGCTCTTCCGCGAGTTCAACTACCAGCCCATCGCCGCGGCCAGTCTGGCTCAGGTGCACCGTGCCCGGCTGCAGGACGGCACTGCCGTGGCGGTGAAGGTGGGCCGTGCCACGTTGCCCCGGTGTGAGGTGCTGCCAGGCACCCCAGGGGTCCCACGGCGCAGGGGTCCAGCACCGCCAGCCTCCCCCGGCCCTCTCCCTGCGTGCCAGCCCTCCCCTCCCCTCCCCTCGCCCGGTCTCATCGCCCCCCCCCCCCCACCAGGTGCAGTACATTGACCTGCGGGACCGCTTTGACGGGGACATCCGCACTCTGGAGCTGCTGCTGCGCATCATCGAAATCATGCACCCCAGCTTTGGGTTCAGCTGGGTCTTGAAGGTATGCGCGGGGGGGTTGCCCGGGGCTCTCCGGCGAGGAACCCGGTGCTCCGTTCCCTTCTCCCGTGGACTCTCACGAGGCTGTCGAGCAGGGGGAGCCCGGCTCAGGCCCCGCTTCTGCCCCTGCGGGCCTAGATCCGTGCATTCCCCAGCTTGCTTCCTCGGGGCCAAGCGGGGGGCCTGCCTCCGTAGCATCTCCTGGCCCAGCGGGTGCAGCCTGAGCGCTCTGTCTCTGGAGCAGCGCAGAAGCCAGCAGGCTCAGCTGGGGGCCACCCCCCGGGCCGACCCTGCCAGGACGCGAGGGGCCCGTCCAGACTGGTTGGCCCGCAAGGGGGCCGGCCGGGTGATGGAGAGCTGGCAGGCAAACCGGAACGGAGGCCGTGTGTGGATCTCCGCTTTCGCCTGCCTCGCGTTCATCTGAAAATGCTGCGTGCGAAATGGGTGGGAAGGCAGCCGCGCCACGGGAGAAGGGCTGGGAAGCTCCATGCCGGGCTCCTGCGCCAGCCCCTCTCCTCGCGTCGCACGACTCCGCCAGACACCTCCAGAGTCCGCTTGCAAGCCCTTTCGCAGCCGATCCACGTGTCGGTCGGACGCCTCGAGTCCCAGGGCGCAGCAACAAACTCTGGCTCTTGTGTCTGTGTGGCCCGCCTCATGCGCCGTGGGGAGCTGATCCGGAGGGAAGCGGGCTGTGGGGCACTTTGCAGGATGCCTCGGCTCCCCTGCGGTGCTGCTGGGGCGCGGCTGGGGAGCCCGCTGTCTTCCGTAACCCCACGCTGCACCCGACGCACGGGCACGCCAGAGACGTGGCCGCCCCCGGCGCTGCTCACACAGCCAGACGCAAACGGTGCCCGCAGCGCCACCCGCCGCCGCTTCCCCTCCCGCTCTGCCCGGCCGTCTCCTCCCTGCAGGACCTGAAGGGGACCTTGGCTCAGGAGCTCGACTTCGAGAACGAAGGCCGCAACTCGGAGCGCTGCGCCCAGGAGCTGGAGCACCTCGGCTTCCTGGTGGTTCCCCGTGTGCACTGGGCCATGAGCAGCAAGGTGAGTCCACGGAGGCAGCACCTGGCGCATGGGGGGGGTCTGTGGGGGGCAGAGTCCTGGGCATCGGGGGAGAGCGAGGGGGCACCGTTCCCTGAAGAGCCCCCGTTGTGTCCCTTGTCCAGCGGAGGCCGCTGTAATCCGTGCCAGGGCACCGCAGAGGCTTGCGGACCCCTCCCAGACCCCCCTTCAGGAGTTCTGGGGTTCCGGCCTCGATGTTCACACACCTGGGCAGGCGGAACTGCCTTCTAGGCTCCAGGACTCATCCTCTCCTGTGCCTGCCCGGCCGGCTCCTCCTGCCCTTGTGCTTGAGCTTCGGGGGGTGGGGGAGTTGGCCTGGGCCAGAGCAGCTTCACCTCCTCTCTCCTCTCTGCCTCCCCCAAGCGGGTCCTGACAGCCGATTTCTACGAAGGCTGCAAAGTCAATGACTTGGAAGGCATCCGGAGGCAAGGCCTGCAGCCCACGGATGTGAGTGCCGGGCAGCCTGTGGCGGCAGCAGACGGCAGGCCGAGGTGGGAGCCCCCCGACTTCCCACGGGGACGCTGGAGGGCACAGGCGGCCCGTGGAGCAGGCTGCCGCCTTGGTTCCCCAGCTTGGGGCCGGGCGCCCTGGCTCTGCCGCGGAGCCGCTGGGGTCTGCTGCGTCTCGGAGTCCCGAGCGGTGTGCCGGTGGGCCCCCGCTTCCTCTGCGTGGATGGCCGGGCCATTGGGGCAAGTTCTGGCCCAGGCAGGAGGACCCAGTGCGCCCCCTCCTCTCCCTGCAGGCTGCCGAGAAGCTGATCCGGACCTTCGCCGAGCAGCTCTTCCTCACAGGCTTCATCCATGCTGACCCACACCCTGGGAATGGTGAGATGTCCCGAGAGCCCCGTGGGGCAGGGCGGGTGGGGCAGCGGACGCCCGGCCTTGCCTCCAGGGGCTGAGGTCGGCTGGGGGCCCGGCCCACCTCCTGGGGGGCTGTTACTTCCCCCTGGTCACAGCAGCAGCCAGACCTCGGCGCTGGCACTAAAGCGAGCCAGGCGGCGTTTGGGGAGCAAGCATCTGGGGCACCGGCCCGCGGCGAGGAGCACAGGCAGGCGCCGCTGCAGCCGGGAAGCGGAAGGATGGGGCGCCGAGCAGGGCTGCCTGCGACCAGTCTGCCTCCCGGCATGCAAGTCGTGCCGGGCCCGTGTCCCGGGAATGACGAGGCACCTGTTGTCGCCCCGCTGCAGTGCTGGTGCGGAAGGGCCCCGGCGGGAAAGCTCAGCTCGTCCTCCTGGACCACGGGCTGTACGAGTCCCTGCAGGACGCGTAAGGAGGGCGAGGGCGGGGGCGGCCGCGGGGGGGGCGGGGCGGGGGGCCCCCCGACAGGCCGCGTCCCTCCAACGGTCGCTCTGGCTTGCAGGGAGCGGGAGGCGCTGTGCAAGCTGTGGCGGGCCATGGTCCTGCGCGACGATGCGGCCATGCAGCTGTGCTCCCGGCAGCTCGGCGTGAAGGGTGAGGATGCGGCGCGGGGCGTGCCTGTGTGCGCGTGCGTCCGGGCGCCCGCTGGGCTCTCCTGCTCGGGTCCGAATGGCGCTGCGCCCCCTGCCCCGCCAGCCCCCCCCCCCCGCAGTCCCCTCGGCCGAAGCAGGCGGGCGGCACGTCCCCGGGGCTGTTTGGGGGCGGCCGAGGCCGAGCCACGGCCCTGGGACCGGAGAGGCAACACAAGCGGTGTGGCCGTCTTGCCAGCGGCGGCTGCAGAATCCCTCTGGATAGGGCGTCTGTGGCGGCGTTGGCAGGGGATGATGGGAATTGCAACCCAAGGCATGCAAAGGTAACAAGCAGGGCAGCTACTCTACGATGCATCAGTAATTTAGATTAATAACCTATAACATTAATCTATATATAGCTATATAGAATCCATCAGAAAGCACGGCTTTCAGGAGGCAGTTCCTGGAAAATTCGGTTTTGAAGGCAGTGCTCTCACTCAGGCTGCCAGGCACGTTCTGCCAGCTCGAGCCACGCCGCCGCTCAGCATCTTCCCCGTCGTGTCGCCGGGCGGTGTGGGCCCGGAGCCGGTGGCCGCCCCGTGCCGCCCGCGGCGCTCACGCAGAGGCGCGTTCGAGCAGGCCCCTTCGCCCCCTCCTGCCGCGCCGTGGGCCCTGTGTGGCCGCTGGCGCTGACGCCCGGCTTCCCCCCAGCCCAGGACTACTTCCTGTTCTGCGAGCTGCTGCTGCAGCGGCCCATCAACATGGCCGAGCTGGCGCTGTCCAACATCCTGACACAGGAGGAGGCCGCGTACATGCAGGACATGGCCAAGCACCACTTTGACCGCATCATGCGGGTGCTCAAGGACCTGCCCCGTTCCATGCTGCTCGTCTTCCGCAACGTCAACACCGTCCGGGGCATCAACGTGGCCCTGGGAGCCCCCGTGGACCGCTACTACATCATGGCCAAGAGGTGGGCAAAGGGCCCGCCCGCCGAGCCTCGTGGCCCCGAGTGCTTCGGCCCGCGTGGCGGCACGTGCCCTGTGGCGCCGTCGCGAGAGGCAGCCTCGCCCGCCGTTGCACGCAGAGCGATCTGGCCTGCCGTGGCGGCCACGGGCCGGAGCCCCGCTCTCCCCTCTGGCCCTGGCTTTGCGGTGCCGATCCCGTTTCGGGGCAGACAGCCGGCAGCAGTGAAGACAGCGCTCCCCCGCGTGCTTCTGGGCTGGGGAGAAGACGAGTGGCGCTTCAACGTGCACTTGGAACGAGCGGTTAATTTTCGAGGCGGTGTTCATTCCTCCCTTGTGAAATGTCACGGCTGCAGGGAGATGCCTTGATGAGGAAGCGCAACAAGTCGGCCCTGTTGCAAAACTTGCTCCCCAGCCCACGAGCCGCAGGACCGGCCTGGAACATGCCTGGGCGGGGGCAGGGGGCGGGGGCGAGGCTGCTTCAGTGCAAGTTGTGAAGGAGGCGGCACTTCTTTTTATTGACACAGCAGAGAGGGATTTGCCAAGGGCTGCCTTTCAGGCTGGGGCCGGCAGGGCCAACCCTCCCCCAGGCCATCGGCCAGACGCCGCCAGCACGAGGCTCTTGGCGCCTGGTCCCCATGGCAGCCCCTCTCGCGTTTCTGAGTGGGAACCGCTCTTGGCATCCTTGATGCCCTCAGGAGCAGGCACTGGTGCTTTTCCCTCCGGAAGGGGACGCGTGGCAAGCGGGGCCGTGCCGAGCCGAGCAGGAGGGCACTGTCAGACCGCACTGGCACCGAGGCCCTATCCAGAGAGCCCCAACAGGGCCCGTGCACTGAGCCCTTTTTCAGCTGGGCAGCCGCCTGGGCACAGCACGACTGCGACGCAACCCAACCAGCCTGGGCAGGAAGGGGAGAGACTGCCTGCAGCCAGTCCACCTGGGATGGGCCTCCCCTTCCGCCGTCGGCACTCAGGCCCTGCTCCCCGTCTGTCTCCACAGCGCAGTGAGAGGCTGGAGCCATGCCGTGAGCCAGAAGTCGGGAGGCCTCGGCAACCTCGTTCTTTTCCGCTGGATCCGTGCTGCCTGGAACAGCATCATGTTTGAGCTGGCACTCAGGTAAGAGGCCGGGGGGGGGGGGGAGTGGCTGGAGATGGCCGGACGTGGCTGCTTACCTTGGTGTGAGCCCCCAGCCCTCTGGAGCAAACGGGCTGCGTCGAGCCCTGGGCCCCTGCCGACCACCCGTCATTTCTATGCATTTTCATCTCCCGCCCACCCAGGGTACAGGTAACCTCGATGAAGCTCACTACCTCTCTTCTGCGCTTCCTGGTCTATGCCGGTTTCCTGCGTGCCAGTGAAGAGCAGAAGCAGATCTATGAATTCCTGCAGGCGTGAGCCCCGGGCCCGGTGACACTCGCGCGCTCGTGGGATCAAAGTCTTGCGGGAGCGACCGGGCCGTGCCAGCCGGACCGGGCTGCGGGGCTGCTTCATCCCCTGCTGGGGCGAGGCGCCTCCTCTCGTGGATGACTGACATCGGAGCAGTTGTGGCACCGAGGGCGCAGTCCGCTCGGAGCAGGGCCGCCAGCCCTGCGTGCCCGACAGGCGCCTCGGAAGCTGAGGTGGCCTCCACAGACCTTGCGTTTGCCGAAAAGCGTTTACACAGAGCCTCTTGTGTATAATTTGAAATGCAATAAAGAAAAAAGGAGCCGTTGCAGCTCCCTCCGTGTAATTTCTGGGGCCCGGAAAGCCTGGGGCCCGCGGTCACGCGTTTGCCACGCAACCCTAACTCCGCCACCGCCTGCTGCTCCTGGCCTGCAGGGGCCGTGGCTGCCCACGCTGCCTGCTCCCACGCTGCCCGGCGGGAGGCACGCAAGGCCGTCCACAGCGCTCAGGCGCCCCCCTGCAGCTCCACAACCCGGCAGCTGCCCTTGCGAGTGCCACGTTTTTTAGAAATCCTTTCCTGTTTATTTTTTAAAAAAATACAATAGATAAGCTGAGCGGCCCAGCCAGAAGCGCTGTGCATGTGTGGGGGGGGTGAGGGGGAGCCCGAACTCGGTGGCGCTCGCTCCCCAGGGAAACTAGAAATGAGCCGTGACACGATCAATCTCCAGTAAATCTTCCAGGATCTGCAGGGAAGCGAGAAAAGGCCGGACTGTGAAGCAGAGTGGAGGGAGGGGGTGGAGCGCACAGCCAGTGGGGGGAGCAGGTGGAAAAGGGGCCGGCCAGGAGGGCTCCCGGCTCCCTTCTGGAGGCAGCAAGGACCGGCTAGCAGGGACCCCCCCCCCCTTGTGCGAAGCTGCCCACCCGACGGCTCCGGGGTTCGGCAGCGACCGCCAAGCCAGCCCAGCCACAGCGGTGGAAGGCTCCCCAGCCCCCCGGGGCCACTCACGATGTCGGGCGTGGTGCCAATCTTCTTGGCCAGCTCGCTGCGCTCCATGGTGCTCAGGTACAGGTAGCGGTTGAGCAGCTCCCCGTCCAGGATGTTGCGCACGGCGTTCTGCAGGATGCGCCGGTCCATGTGCAGCATCCTGTGGGGGCGGGGAGGCGGCAGCGTGTCAGCAAAGGGGGGCCCAGGGGCGTGCGCCCCTGGCCGGCCGGGCCCCGTGAGGGCAGGGCGCCCCGGGAGGCTGGCGAGGTACCTGAAGGCCCGGGGGTTGAGGCCCGCGTGGTGGGGCAGCATGGTGGTCAGGGCGTTCTGCAGCATCAGCAGGCGCCGGTACGTCTTCTCCTGCATGGGCAGCAGCAGCCCGATCCCGCCGTCCAGCGTGGCTGCGGAGAGAACCGGCGCGGCCTCAGAGCCGGCCCCCTCGCCCCCGGCCCGGGCTCCGCTCGGCTCCCTCTGCCGCAGCGCCGAAGGCCGAGCCCCGAGCCCGAGACCGCTCCTGTGGCCACCCGGGCCCGTGTCCCACGCCACGCACGGGAGGCGAGGGAGCGGCTCGCACCAAGGCGACGCAGGCAGCCACCTTTCTGGGAAGCCATGGAGGCGCCTCTCTCCAGGCGACTGTCCCCAGAGTGCGCGCTCCCTTCCTTGCAGGGGCCCCGTGCCACACTCGGCTGCTCCCGTTCGAAGATGGAGGCAGCCGTTTCCGGGATCCCGACGCTCCACACACACAGTGCCAACCCCGCGCCCGGGCCAGCCCCGGCCCAACGGCGTCCTTGGCGACCCACCGCCCGGCCACGCCTGCACTGCCCCCCCCGGGCCCCACGTACCAAACCACGTGATGTGCTTGTTCTCCCAGGCGATGGCTTTCTTGGTGAGCCCCTCCGTGGCCCCGCGGCAAGGGGTCCTCCAGAAGGCGTTGACGTGGGCGCCCACGTGGAAGTCGGCTCTGCGGAGCAGGCGCATCCCGCCAAAGCTCTCCTTGGCTGCAGAGCGGGGCGGGAAAGGCTCGGGTGAGCACGGCAAGGCCGCCTGGCGCAGGGGCTCGGAGCAGGTCAGACCCCGCTCAGCCCCACATCTTGCAAAGCAAGGCCCAGCCGCCCTCGCGAGTCAGCCTGCCGGAGGCCGGGTACAGGGGGGCAGGGTCCCGCACTCACCTTCCGGCAGGTACATGTAGACCAGGAGGTTCCGGTCCCTGTCGGACACTGCAAGAGAGCAGCACGGCTCAGCCGGGCAGCCGGGGCGGCCAGGCCAGGCCAGGCCGGGGCCCCTTGCCCAGGGCTGTGGCAGCCTCCGCGGGGAGGGCTCTGAGGGCGGCATCGGCGGGGCCCACGCCGCCCCCAGGCAGGACTGCCCCACGCCCCTTCCAAGCGGCAGGCATGGGCGATGCCCCTTCCCATACTCCACCTGGGCTTCGCCTCCCTCTTTTTCAGCCTGCACTTTTGGGTACCAGGATTACGGGGGGGGGGGGGGATTTCCCAAGCATGGATGCCGTGCTGTGCTGCTTCCCCAGCCATGGCTCGGAACGATCTGCATCGCTGATTCTAGCGCCGGCAGCCCAGCTGGGTCTCCTTAATGCAGACCCTTGAGCTCCTTTTCGAGCTGGGGGGTGGGGGGCACAGCTCAAGTTACACTGGCAGTTCGAAGCGGCCTAGAAAAGGCACTGCTGGCCCCCCGCCCTGACCTGCTGGCGGCTCCGCCTCCCAGAATGGGCCCTGCGAGGCACGTGGAGCTGCGTGCGAGCGAGTGAGCGACCTCGCCGGCGGCCCGAGCGGCTCTCCTGTGGTCGGGCCAGAGCACCAGGCCCGCCCTGGCCTGCCCCCTCGCGCACTCGGCACGCTCCTTCACAAGGGGGCTGCAAATGGGGCCGCGGCCGTTGCCCCCCCAAGCGGGCGCAGGCCAGCAGGGCACGGCAGACGCGTCGGGCAAAACCCTCCAGCCGGAAGGACGCCACTCCGGTGCTGCTGCAGGAGCGGGGGTGCTGCAGGGGATGCTGGCGGGGGGAGAGCCTTCCCCGGCGATCTCATCCCTGCCTGCCCCCCCAGGACCAGGCACCTGGGGGATGGGCCAGACTGCCAGGCGGGGGTGGGGGGGGGCAGGCCGGGCCCCCGGCTACGCACCCAGGAAGCCCAGCTGGGCGCTGTCCACCATGAAGTCCACACTGTACACTTCCAGGGGCTTGGCGTCCTGCGGGGAGAGGCTGGGGTCAGCACGGCTGGCCGGGGCAGGCTGGGCCGCCCGCCCGCCCACCCCAGACCGGCAGCGGCGTCCGCACCCGGCTGACAAGCGAGAGAGTCTTGCTCTCCTCCTGGTAGCGCAGCAGCGAGATGCTCTTCATCACGTCGGCCGCCAGGATGAAGTTCTTGACGCTGATCATCTGGTGGATGTAGAGCTGCGTGTCGATGAAGGCCATGCCGGTCAGGTCGTTGTCCTTCAGGCTCCACAGGAAGATCTGGGCGGGGGGGCGGGCAGCGGGCTCAGGCAGGGTGGGCACCCCCGGCCCCGGCGGGGCTGCGGCCCGCGACGCGAGCGAGCCTGCGGGACCCACCCCGCGCTCCCCGGCCGGGCGGCTCACCTTCTGGCCGATGGCGGAGACCAGGTAGCCGTTGCAGTGGCAGAGGGCCGTGACCGGGCCCTTCTGCTCCTTCTCGTACAGCACCTTGAACTTGTTCTTGGTGAGCGGCTGCCCCGGCTCCGGCACCACCTCGATGATGTCCGTGATCAGGACCTGCCGAGGCGGGCAGGCAGGGCGGCCAGTGAGGGCGGCACGCTGCCAGCGCTCCCCGGAGCACCCCTGCCGCCCCTCCGCCTCGCCTCGCGCAGGCCGGAAGGCCCCTGCGCTGGGCCCTGCCGCAAAGTGGCCAGGATGAGGCGTGGCTCGCCGGCGCCACGGGACCTCCGGCCACGGGACTCACCCGCCCGCGGCAGGTCACCTCCTCGCCCTGCATGAGGCAAGTGCCCACGGCGATGTAGCCCTTCAGCCCCGAGACCGTCTCCTCGCTCTTCAGGGACACCGTCTTCATGCAGGTCACGTGCTCCCACTCCTCCAGGTCGATCCTGCGGGGGGGCCGGGCGAGGGGGGCTGAGCAAGGGGGGCGGGCCTGCTGCCCCCCCCTGCAGAGCCAGGCTACCCCCCAGGCCGGCAGCCCCAAGGTGGGGGCCCTTCGTCCAGGCATCGGCCACCTGCCCCAGGCTGGCTGCGCTCGCCACTGAGGCGGGCAGAGCACCGGCCACGCTCGCTGCCCCCTGAGGTCAAAACGCAGTGGGGGCCGGGGGGGCCCTGCCTGGGGCTGCTGGGAAATGCCCTGGCTGGCGCTTGAGGGAAGCAGGATGCTGGGCAGGGGGGGACTGGCCCCGCTCCGGCCCCCTGCCGCCCCCTTGCACTCATCCGAGGGGTGGGCCGGGGACCGGCCAGGGCCTCCCGCTGCCCTCCGCCCGGCGCTTCCCGCGCCTCACCTGGTGTTTGGGATGGTCTCCCAGCTGACCGGAGAGATGAGCTGGATGGAAAAGGCCTCCTGCAGCGGGTGCATGTAGCGATCGTCTGGAAGGGGGACCGAGAGCGGCGCTTGGCCCAGCGGCAGGGGGGGCAGCATGGCGGCGTGCCAGTGCCCACAGGGAAGGGAAGGGAAGGGAAGGGAAGGGAAGGGGCTGGGCCCACCCCACCCTCGCCGCTTCCCCCAAAAGGCCGGGCGTCGGGGCCAGGGGAGGCCCTTCTCAACTGGGACCCCGGCACTCGCTCGCCGAGGGGCCTGCTCCAGTGCTGGGTGGAGAGGGACCGGGGCCTGCCTGGAGCCGCTCCCCGGGAACGTGCGCACCAGCAGCAGGCGCCCTCGGCAGCAGGCCGGGCTCTGCGATGCCACACAGCTCGTCCTCGCAGGAGCTCCCCGGGATGGGCCCCTGGGCCGGCAAGTGCCCCCCAGGTGCGCTCCAGGGGGCACCGGGCTCCCGGCCACCGCCTCGAGCGCACTCACCCCGCTCGATGGTCTCAAACTCCTTCTCCTCGCCCGTCATGCGCGGGATCCGCGTGCAAGGGTTGTTGATGCTGGTGGCCACAGCATAGACCTGCCGGGGGGAGGGGGGTCCATTCAGGCGCCTGGGGGCGCCAAGCCACACAGGAGAGGGCGGGGTGGGGACGAGGCGGCATCTGTGGGGGCTCCCCTGCCCCCAGAGCGCTGTTAAGCCCCCCCCCCGGCATCTGCCCCCTCCCAGGTTGTTTGCTTGAGTTGCGCCCGCGCGGGGCCCCACCTTGGACTCAACGTGATAGGCCACGTAGTGGGCAGTGCAGCGGAGCGGGATCTTCCGGACGGGCCACGGAGCATCGTACGAGAGGTAGG